TGTGTGTGTGTGGTTGTGTGTGTGCAAGATTTGTAGGTCTGATACTCAAATAGAAGTTGTCATTAAGGGTGAACAACACAGATAGAATCGTTTCTGCTCCATCAGGCCTCCACTAAGGATTCATGTTGATTAAGCCCTAATTGTTTTTTTCATTATAAAAAGGGTCAAAAAATTTTTTATGTTATAAAAGGCAAATAAAGTGTTTGTAATATAGCAACATTTAAAAAAACAAACTCATTTTCACTTTACTGTAATAGAAATACAAGGAAACGAGCAATTGTTCATTTATTTTTTGTATTTTTTTTCTACTGATCCTATTTCTTCTGTGCACATTTTTTTATCGAGGTGAACAGTTACAACACGAGTAAAATGCCACGTTTTGCTAATCTTTTTTTGCCTGTCATTGATTTACAAATGGTCACATGAAAACACAAAGACTTACAGAGCTGTTATCCAATCAAGCTAACACTAAAGTTTGTCTCCTCTTGCTTGTTTTCAGTTTTTTCTGTCAGCAGTGTGTCATGACCGTCAGACAAAAATGTCCCATGATTGGAAATAGTTTTTTTTTAATTTAGGGAGCCAGAAAACCAAAATAATGTTTGTCTCTAACACATATGTAAACCTTTAACTAGTGTTTGAGATAATAACAGTCGTTTGCAGTATTGTGGGATGATGAGACAACTTAGTGCGGTCAGTTTTAATGTCTGTTTGACTTAAACCTGTTAAATGTGTCTTCGTTTAATGTGTTCTAATTAAAAGTCTTGCCTCCAGAGTTTAGTCAGCTAAAGTATGTTTCATAACTCTTTCTGCATTCAAACAAAGCTCATTCAGTTATTTGGTAGTTTTGAACAGAAAACGATTGCATTTAAAGCCTCTACTGGCCTTCATGTTGAAACCTTTTAATCCTTCATACTTGGCTCATGTCTGAATTTGCATGCTGTTGGTTTTGATTTGCAAAAGGGGAACTATGGCTTCAACGGACAGCCTGTCGATATCAAAAGGATTATTTGCATGTACGTTGCAGAAAACTGCCCAGTGTGTGGGTATCTATACAAGGGCCCTCTTTGTGTTTCATTTTGCAGCCGGCGAATGAATCAATGATCAGCTCTTTTCTCTGCAGGTTGTAAATACACGTGTCACGCTGCATGTCGGGAAAGAGTGTCGCTGGACTGTCATCCTGCAGCGTCGCCCGTCAGTCAGGACCAGCTCAACAACAACACGCCGCTCCATGTGAGTACACACTCTGACTCCTGTGCTGTTTTGTTGTTATTTTATAGCGTCTAATGACCCTCTGATTATGGAGTTAAAAAGCTGCGCATGTTTAATTTTGACCCAAAATTCCACAATATTGCATGAAAATACATATATTTTCTTTATTTAAGTGATATGTGGGCTTTAATTAGACAGTTTTAGTGTCCAGTGATGGTTGAAATACTGTTAAAGAGCCATTTCTACCTTGATAATATCAGATGATCTGCATCAGAGCATGATGAAGGAAAGACATCCCCGAGGCCCACTGTGTTGGGTGCTGGATCGCAAAATGTCAAAAATGAGAAAAGAAAAGAAGAACGATCCGCACACCAAACAAGCTCCCTTTTACAATTTATTGGCGTGACGTTTCGAGCAAAATGCTCTTCCTCAGACTGCTAAACATTAGACTCAGGCCGCCATCTTAAGTACCCATAGTGCTCAGCATTCATCACGTGGTACATTGGCAGGTAAATGTATGCAATCATGTATAGAAAAATAGTTTTTGCAAAAAAATGAATGAATAAACATATGTGAGAAAAAAGCTATATGTGAGAAAAAATATAAAGAGTCAGATATTGAAATGTATCTATATGTATATCTGACTCTTTATATTTGTGTGCAGATCGTTCTTTTCTTTTCTGCATCAGAGAATGAAACATTCACATTTTTGAGCAATTTCAGGTCATCTCATCCATGTCAGCTGAAAAACAGAGATTATATTTGAATCTGGAAACAGTAGCTGCCAATCACAACAAAGCTATTGAAGCTACATGCACTATATCCACAGTATTGCACATTTAAGTTAGTATTTTGGCACTAAATATATTAATTTTGGGTTAATATCAGTGTTTAGCAGTAATAAACTACAAACATGGTGGACATGCTGTTATTTATGGTTTGAGGATCGTTCAATACTGGGCTTTAAATTTTATCCTACACACTCGCTACACTCAATTGATTAGGAAAAGTAACACTGCTGTAGTACCACCCATGACCACAAGGTTGTGCTGCAGCCAAACATTTAGGCTGCTCTTAACAACAATAGTACAGCTATAATAAATAGAAAAACAGTATTTAATTGAGCTTTTTATTATTGTGTCAGTGTCAGAACATTACTGTCACATAGTTTTTTTGCCTCCTTAGTCGATAAAACAAGACGTGTGCAGCTGAAATGATTAAAATGTTACATAATGACTGGGACTTTTCTGCCACAAATATTGAAAACAATGTGAAAAACACCAGTAAGAAGTCAAAACAGGCCCAAATAAATGAATGAAAGCAATTTATGATATTCTTACATGTGTAAAGTGGCGGCAATAGAAGATAAATGCAACCACGCAATGGGAAGTTATTTGAACAAATTCTGAGTTGTTGTTAAAATAAAGATATCACACACCCTATTATCAGCTTCTCAGCTGTTAAAGACATGTTGTTTTTCTTGCTCTCATGCGATACTGAAAGTAAAACAATCATTCTGTATTGATTTGGATGGCTGGTCAGACAAAACAAGCTGATTAAAGACTCGGCTTTGAGTTTTAGGCAACTGTGAGGGAGGTTTTTCAGTGTTTTTGGACATTTCACAAACCCAGTTCATGGAGAAAATGCTAAATATTGAATGAATTGACAATGAAAATAATTATTTCTTGCAGCCTGACAGTCGCGTGATGAATAGGAAACAGTAAGATGATAATAGTTTAGTCTGAGGTCAGACATGTGTTTCAGAGTGTCACTGTAATGTGTCAGATTCCATCGAGCTTTGATAAAACACTGGATCCTGCACACGCACGCCCACAATGCATCACTCACCAAGAATGGTGTGTGTGTGTGTGTGTGTGTGTGTAGTTCCAAGAAGACAGCTGGGTGTGTAGCAGGTCTGGTTCATGTTAGAGTGTTTTTCAGACCACACCAGGCTGTATTACAACATCATCCGACTGGAGCTGTGTGGGGCTTCAATAACTTTAACTGTGTGTGTGTGTGTGTATGTGGATGAGTGGGTGTGTGGGCGTGCACGTGTGTGTGTGTGTGTGTGTGTGTGTGTGTGTGTGTGCGTGGGTGTGTGTGTGCTACAGTCAGCCACAGTTATTTCCCGTATAGGAAACAGTTACAGGATGTGTGACACTGGCACAAAGAGAAACATGAGCATGCAAACTCTGCTCTACACGCTGGAATCAGGATACTTTTATAATCCCAGGAGCTTCAGTAAAAAGCACCTGAATTTCTCTTTTGTGGTTCTTGAAGATGAGACGCTTCTTCAGCGCTCACCGACTGACAGGGAGTCCCACATATTTCCAGTCATTCCCAGCACACGTGACTCATGACCGAAGAGTCACATGCCTCGAGGTGTGAATGATTATGAAACTGCCAGGTGAGGGTTGAGTTAAGGTGTTAACGGAGGTGAGGCCTCAACGCTGCAATATGAGTACCTGATAAGTGGTGCCACAGACCCCTCCTCTGTTTAGAGAGGCTGGTCCAGTTTAACATGAATGACTTCCTTCAGTCTCCTCTGTCTAAACACTGTTGTCCTCAAAGGGGTGTCCCTTATCCTAATTATGCTTATCATTATCAGCATTCTTATCAGTATAACTCCTTATCCTTATCAAGGTACTTGTATAAAAAAAAAAAAAAAAATCAATCACTCGTCTTTCTCCAGTTTTGCTTTGTTGGACATCGCGTCCTGTTTTATATGATGGGAGGAGTTAAAATCACGTTTTATTGGATATTTGTTTATACACTGACTCAACATGAGTCAGCAAATACATACGGATGGCTGGTTATGGGAAGAGAAAACATATAAAGGTAGTACAGTTTACTTTTTGGTTTATATTAAGCTAGAAGTGAAGCTTTAAGCCCCCGCGACCTTAGTGAGGATTAAGTGGTGTACAGATAATGGATGGATGGATGGATGACGCTTTAGGCCCTTAAAGGAACAAGCTAACATTCTGAGGAAACACAGAGTCACTGGAGCAGATATCAGTGTGTGTCAGAGATACACTGGTTCCTGACTCCAGGTGATGTCTTGATACATCAGGTTTGTTATGTCCAGCTGTTAGTATCTCATATGTACGCCCCTGAGAAATGTTGTGTAGACTCTGTGGGTTGGCCAAGTGAGAGGTGCTTCTAGGAGGTGGAGTTTGCTAAACATGAAGGTTACTTATGAGGTGTAGCACATGGTCTGCAAGAGAAGGGGATGCTTTAAGATTCCCAGTTGGTCTGTTATGAAGAACATCCTTTCTTTATGCTTCTACGACACGTTGCCTCGACTCTACAAACCCTCTGCAGCCTCCCTCGACTGGTGGGATTTTTATTTTCCAGCCATGTTGTAACATGTGTACTGCAGCTTCTTGCACTCTCAGACTTCCTCCACGGCATCTTCCCAGAGCACAGTGAGCTTTATGATATACTGGAGACGGAGTGAAGCCGACCATAGCACAAGGTCTGGTACGAGGTTGGCTGACGCAGTTTCAAGGAGCCCTTTGGCCGAAATCTGCTGCCAATTTCCAGCTGGGTTTCCCACCTTGTAGCTCTGGTCTAGATGTGTGGTTGTGGTTTTCCCCTCACCTTCCTGGACAAATTGTTGTTGGCCGACAGGATGAAGGGAAAGGAAGTGCGTTGATGCTCGTCTGCCAACTGTCCAGCACTGCTGCAAAATGCTGCAGGTGTGTCGGCCTTGTGTGAGGACTGTGTTGCAGCCCACCCACTGGTTCTCTAGTATGGCTCTGATTCACAGTTGTTGACATGAATAACTTTAACTTTTCTTTCACCAGCTAATGCTTAGTTGTCAATAATTATACTGAAACCATAAAGCTTTTGGGCAATTTTGTTACTGTATCCATTATTATTATTATTATTATTATTATTATTATTATTATTATTATTATTAATAATAATAATAATAACAATAATATTGCTAATGTTGTGTTGGTGTTGCTGGTGCAGCAATTTCCCCGAGGTTTCCACCAAGGGGATCAATAAAGTTCTATTCTATTCTATTCTATTCTATTCTATTCTATTCTATTCTATTCTATTCTATTCTATTCTATTATCCAGAGGTTGGCTCTGAATGAAAGAAATAAATTCTATTCTATTTTTTTCCTTGATGAGTTTTATTCGTAATTCTGACATTTAATTTAAGGAAACCTTTATAAGTATTGTATCTACATGTAGCAAATGTTATCCCATCGATGTAACCGATCAGAAATCAGTGGTCTCATGCAACTAAGTGATTCTTAAAAGTACATTTAAGGGGCACCCTGGTAGCTCACCTGGTACAGAATACACACCGTGTCCTAAAGCTGATTACCTGCTACAGTGGCCCTGGTTCTCTCTTCAGCTCTACCTATGAAGCCAAAAATGGTCCCAAAGTAATCTGTCGTTCTTAAACAGCTGTAAGACATTATCATCTTACAGACCAACATTGCACCTCGGTGTTGACATCCCATCTGCCACTTTAACATCTCCAGTCTCCACGGAGAGCAGCCTGGTTTTGGCTCCAGCGCTTGTCAACACTGATGTGGTTGTATTCCTGCAGGAGGAGGAGGATTAGCTCAGCACATTTCAAACCAAAGCTGAACATATTCACACACTGGAATAGTGCTGAGTAATGCTGAGCGCAGTGTGGTGGGTGTAAAATAACTTTGTAAAACTTATTTTATAAAAATACATTTTTTGGTTTGTGTGTGTGTGTGTGTGTGTGTGTGTGTGTGTGTGTGTGTGGTGAGTTCATTGTGTGGCTGCAGATGTCAAAGTGTCCACGCACATACCAGTGAGTGTGTTTCTAGTTAAACACACTGTGCACTGTATGTATAGATATTCATAGACGTGCATATAGTTAATTCTTGCAGCTGATCTGAGTTAAGCAACAGCCTGATGTATTGTGGTTTAAAAGTCTGGTTTGGTTTTCTTTGCTGAAAAATATCTTCTTCTTTCTGCAGCTGAAAACAGATTTTTAAATTTTTTTCACTACTTCTGCCTGTGAGCGT